TGATATATTATCCTTATTTTTGAATAGCTCAATGTGATGATTGTTAACTGAGTTGCGTTTTTAGAAGGTAGCCAAGGTCCGTCTATCTATCTGGTCTCTCTATATTTGATAAACTATCATTATTAGTATTGATAATACTGATGATATATTATTAATTTGAAATGTCGGGAAAAGTCTATTTTCACATTAACATAATTTTTAATTACACTTTCAAGAGGAAATTGATCCTATCCCAGCACTACCTACTGCATGATATCTGGTTGTCCGCAATGCAACAATAAATGTAATGCAATTATTTATATTTATTATATGTTTTATTAAAAATGTTCAAGATTTTCTATTATATTGAAACTATTCCGCTGAATCTGTATTACCTACTTGCCTACCTTCTTATAAGTATAAAATTTATACTTATGTATGTATTTATACACCAAAATATAAAGACGTTGCAATATTTCGACATCGCTTGTTTTCCAGTCTTATATACTACTATATCAATTTAAATCATCTTGCACGAGATTCGTTAAAGATCTGGATTTTCCAACGTGATCCGACGACATCGGTTTTTTTTTTCTTTTTTTTTGAAACTTATCCTATAACAAAGATATTGTACCCTTATTCACCTTACTTCTCTGAAACCGGTTGCAAATTGTTCTTAGAAAAGCATTTTCTTGTATAATATATTCAACGATGTTCATAAAATCTAGTATTAATATTCATAAAAATATTTGTATACATATATCTACATTCATTTATAGATATATTAAATTCAATTTATCATAGTCTGAGTTCACGGAACTGCATCCCATTTACAGCTAATGTCTCGGTAATTTTTATATATAACTTTATGTGTTAATATACGACAAGTAATTATAATCAAGCGATTTATGATACATGTCTAATTAACAAAGCTCATTGCTACTTGCCTTCAAATATTGAGGAAGAATACGCTCTTTCAACGGCAGGCCACGTGGTTCTGCAGCGTACAGGACAGTGTGTTGCATTCCTATTTCAAAAAAAAAAAATTATATAAACTATACCGGAATATAAATTAGTATATTTGAACTTTTTCTTTTATGTTCATCCTATCAATTAAAAATATTTTTTGGATCTTACCCGTATGGATAGGATATTTTCCAGTCATCAACGCTGATCTGGATGGAGTGCATATTGGCTGAACGTAATAATTTTGGAGTAAAATTCCTGAATATGCAAGAGCATCTATATTTGGAGTTGGAATTTCAGATGATCCATGGAATCCCACGTCATTCCATCCCTTTAAAGTATTTAATAAAAATAATCAATTTAACTACCAAATCGATGTGTTTTGATAACAAATTTTCAGGTTCCGAGAAAAATTTTAGCTGTACATTTTTATTTATGCAACAAAAAATTGTTTCCCATCATATCTGGACGACCAATCACTGGTTTGACATTCGATTTAGACGAGCGGTCGGGGAACTTTTTTAATCATTACCCCAAAATATTTTTGTCTAAGTTGATACAACCTCCATGGTAAAAAGTAAAAAGAACAACTATGTAGCAAATTCAGTGAATATCATTTAAAAATTCATAATTTTTACCCTCAAAAATTTAATTTTTACCCAAATTGGGGTAATTTACCTCTGTTACCCGACTACTGATTTAGACATTCTAAGTCCTACAAAAAATTTGCTGATGTTTCATATAGAATAGGTGCAGAAATAAAAAATATCTGTAATTTCCATCGGGCAACTTCTTAAGCATTCCATATGGTCATGTGTACTTTCAGTAATCGAGAAAGCAGGAAGTTAAAGAAAATTTAATGATCTTAATTTTCAAATATCACCACAGTTACTTTATTTATCATTAGCTTTTTTATTTTTAGTAGTTTTTCAAGAAATCATTTTAATATTGAACTGCAAAATCATGCTGCTCCATTATACACTCAGATGTATTCAATTTCTCGAAAGTAAAAGTGAAATTATATAATGACGCAGAAATCGAAATATATTAAGTAAGATTCCAATATTTTGAAATAACAACATAATACAAATACTCAAAAAATCGCTTTGCAATTCAAATTTCTTTCATATAAACCTATTTTTCAAACAAATTGAGCATTTTAAAATTGATGATACAAAATATGTGTAGCGAAACATCGATTTCTAATAGTAGCAAGAGACTCAGAAATACAATTTTTTTACAAGTAAACTTTATGATGAATTAGCAATATTACACTTAATAATCTCTTATTCATCTTTCATTTCAATACTGTTATGAAATCAGTAAAGATTCATAAATGATATAACAATCATGACAAATTATCCATTTGATCAAAATTACAAATTTAATTAAATTAGCTAAAAAATACGATTCTGCAAATCATCTTTTGCATGTTATATGCTTATTTTAATACTTGGGTTTATCATTGTAGATAAATTTATTAACTATTATTTATAACTATGATTAATTATTTGCGCAGGGCACCATAAATAATTGTAATCATAAATTGTCATATCCTTATGCTTGTATTCCATTGTCAATTGCTTATTGGAGCACTTACTTTTTTCTTATTTATTATACATTTTTATTAATGTTTATTGATTTGCTTTTTATTATTTTTTCTTTTTCTTTCTGTGATTATTATTTTTTTATTATTATGTGTATTTTTTTTTATTTATTTAGCCCTCTAACTTCTATAAGTTCTGTCAATAACTCTGATTGTTGTATAATTTTAAATAAATAAAAAAAATCCTGATGCACAGTTAATCCTGCTACATTTGCTAATGTACTAGATAAATATTGTTACTAATTGTAAATATTAGATTACCCATGTTTGGTATATAATTTTTCAATTTTCCCTGAAGTTACAAAAGCAATTCTGACCTAAATTGATGTAATTCTAATACTGGTACCACGATAATTGAGTAAGAATTTGCTAACTAAATATTTATCTGTAGATTCTGCAAAAAAATCTATTTTGCGGTAAAAATTGTACCTCCCGTTCATATTTTGAACAATGGATTATATATTTGGAGTTCACCTGCAAATTATTACAACATGGTGATTATAAGAAATGTATACATATATTGTAACGCCTACTCAAATTTAACATTCCAGATACGAACTGCACATATTCTGGTAGAATATTTTTGTTAACAAAATAATCAGCTTTATGTATAAATAAATTTCTATATATTTATAAATAAATCATGGTGAGATTGATGCATGCAAACACTGAATTGATATTTTTAGTTCATGAATGCAACTTGAATATTTTGGTCTTGTGTGCATATGGTCGACTATAAATAAGATATGACACAGTTTATTTAAAAGCAAAATTAGAATTCGTTACAACTAACTTCCAGTTTGAAAATATATTTTCTTTATTTGACTTGAAAAATTACATCATCAAATGTTTTTAAATAATTATTATGATGCAATTTCGGTATACACAAATAATGTAATCATGTAATACATATGCATTTATGAAAGTAAGGATTAGACTATTTTTAATTTTGTTTATAACGCATAAAATGTTAAGTTTTAATTTCTCGTAGGGTAAGTTACCGTAATGAGACAAAAATTAAAAATTAAAATGTTTATATATCTTCACGTTTTAGAGGTTTCTGAACATTTTGGCATACCTCAGAAAAAATGGTTGTGTGAATATGTGTATGTATGTATGTGTGGATACAATTTTTCGTCTACGTTTTCGGACGCACAGATCAACCATTTGAATGGTTAAAAAAAATTCGATTTCTATTGATAGGGAGATATGCTGATTAGTTTTTTGGCAGGTCCAGCCGTTTCGGAGATATGGAGCAAATTTTGCAGAAAATGAAAAACGTGTTTTTTAGAGAATGGAGAATCCGATGTGAATGATCCAAAAAATATTCAATTCGTAATAATGATTAGATTTTGGCAATGGCAGGTCCTGCTGCTTTAAAAATTCGGAGCTAAATATGCAAAAAATAGCAATTTTTGAGAGAACTAACTAGATTTGTATGCTTTTTGCTTGCGTTGACGAAACGATTTCTTTTGGGAAAAGATTTTATTTTTTAATTTCAAAAAAAAAATTTTTCACTAAATTTTATTCTTTCTAATATTTCATTGTGGTAAGGGTAGTTTCGGTAATTTGCCATAAGGCACGATTCAATACACCACTAGTTATACATTTCTGTTAAATAATACTACTACTTACGGTATTTTCATTTAAATCCATGAATTGTACTATTATGCATTTCATTAAAAAATGATTTCCAATGCTCATTTATAACACGTTAAGCATTATTAGTAAATATTTACAGAAAATTCAAGCTTTTGTAAATAATTTATGTGGAATAAATATTTATATTATAATCCATCAGTTCATCCATAAATCCTATATTAGTAAAAAAACAAATATTGGCAAAATGGTGTTCAAATATTAGTAAAAATAAAAATATCATTAAAAATGTTACTATATTTTTGCTCTTTAAATATTTATCTGGTTTCATCATTCATATTTTCATCAGGTTCTTTCCTATCAAAATAATAATAATAATAATAATAATAAATTTATAAGATATTAGACAAATTTTGTTTTAATAATTCGTGTCTTTTTTGTCCCATCTTACTTTCTTAAGAAGTTTTATGACTTTTTATACAGTACATATACGAATTATAAAGTAAATTATATAGCTGCCAAATTTAAATTTTTTTAGTGGCTACCATAAGATATAGAATCTACTTGCACATCACATATAAAAGTCATATATATATATAAGCTTAACCTTAACTCTTAGATTTTGATTTTTATAAATTGATTTACTTTTTGTTTAGTTATCTTTAACCATTTCCATTCGCGATTTGCAAAATTTATATGTGTTATGTCGCCGGAGCGGCGGCATCCGAGTGGAAAGGATTAAATTTATTTATCTATTTACATCAAACTCAACCATCAATCACAAAACTGCAATTAGCTTAATTTCTTTGTTTACAACTCTTATATATCGCGTGTTTTTTGTTCCATTAATTTCTTAACATTTTATGGATACCGTTTATAACAATATAATTATAGTATGTATACATCCTATAAAGTGATTTAATTATCAATTAAGTTTTGTATCAAATCGAATGAAAGTGTGCTTAATTTGATCAAAATAGCTTTGTTAGGAATTTGAATAGAAACTTCTCTGGTTTAATTTGAATCACATTACACATTAAATATTATGTATAACATCAACTATTTTACGTGCCGTTGCATTTCTAATGATAGAGTTCTAAATTCCAGAATAATTTAACATATCAACCTAAAAACACCAGACAAGCTTATTAACCATTTCTAGAGGATGTTCCTAGAAATTTAATAAATTAAAATATGTGTCGGTAATGAACAGTTATGGTTTGTTTAGACTTTAGAATATATACACATATTCTTACAAAGGACATAACAAAAGTGCACTGCTTTAGAATCATTTTTTGTTCGGATTATTTTCTTATTAAAGTACATCGTAAAATTTAATAACATTGACAATAACTAAAGAGGTGTAAAAAGAAAATAGTATTAAAATTTTTTTATCGATATTTAATTAAAAGTATTATGATGATCATAATAAATTCGAAGAGAACTGAAAGGCGGGTTAATCAAACTTATAGAGATATTATAACAAATAGAGATACTTACACTTATATAAATCAACCTACAGTATTTAATTTAATATAAATCATCTTATATTATTAATTTTGAATATATAAACACCACAATCTTATTTTGCTCTAAATTTATTTCGGAAGATACTAAATTACAAAGTTTCGAGATCGTTATTTGCCCCATCCTCAGATCAAAATTTAACAGAGAAAAAATATATTTATAATTATTATGATTATTATAAATTCTAAAAGCATCGAAATACGGTTTAAACTAACTTATAAGTAGATGTAAATTAAGTACTAAATTATAAACGATTTGAGACCGTGTTCGGCTCATCATCAGAGTACATAATATAAATTATTTATCTTATATTACATATAGGGTAGAGCGGAGATCAAGGTACGTGGGTCAAAAGGTCCACCACCGATATCTCAAATAAAGTTAGGATTTTTTTAACAACAATATTTTAAAGTAGGGGGAAAAGTATGTTTACCTAGCCACTACCTTGATTTTTACAACTTTGCTAGCGGGAGATAAACGACAATGTGTAAAAATCTATAACAAAGGTATTTTCTGTCGTTGTTAGATTTTTTCGTTTTAAACTCTGTTGTTTAGTTTACGAAACCTTAATATAATTATTCCAACTCTGCTGATGAGTATTTCTGGCTAAACGCCTGATTTTAGATTATATATAGTGAAAGAACTGTAAAAAATGTACCCATAAAATTTAAATTTTGCATTAGTTAAAAAATGTTGAAAAACGAAAAATGTTGCTGTTATTTCGTAAAATCCCTTTAAAATTAAAAATAAGATATTGGGCCTGGTGCCTCCTTGCCGTCTCATTGTACTCAACCTATGGAGTAAAAATACTAGGTGACAAAATTTTTAAAAACATAAAAAACACATTTCTACAATGATGATTTAGCTGCGAGTTTTACTGAACATAGTCAGACAGTTGTTTGATATGTGTCATCTGTTGTGATGAAATTGCTCGAAGTTTGCACAATATAATTGCTCAAAGTCAAATTGGACTTTTGTGCCCCGCCCTACTCTATTTATATTTTTCAACGCTAAAAAAATCAGTTTTCTTTAGTTATGATATTTTTATTATTTATACTCTCTCTAAAATATTTAATTCTGCATGATACAGATACAATTAAAAATATTTAAAATAATTGTAATAATAAACAATAATGATAATAATTTAGAACAATAACAAATTTCAATATAGCACATGTTTAAAAGATTTTTTTTATGTTTTTATATTATACTACCTATAATTTGAAATTTATTAATAAAATGAGTATTTAAGACAAAATTATTTAGAGATGAATAATTTATTTATGCGAGAGATTTGTGAAAGGAGAACGTTGTAAAAGGATAATGAATTTGCTATAACTAAATGCTTAAATTTTAAACAATAGCAATACACTTAATTTATTTAAAATTCTCCTCTATAACTGGAAAATTATATCTGAGTTATTATTGAAATGAAAAGAGATACTATGCTTAAAGCTACATGCAGAGCTTTTAAACCAACTATTTTCCATATCACAAACCTCATATGATATCATAAAAATCTTGATTGGAGAAAAAAATCAAATATATGTATTAATGAAAAACCATACTCACCAAATCATCAGCTAAGATAAATATTATATGTGGTCTTTTCTCGGCATCACAATTAACAAAATTAGTCAAAACAATTAAAAATGTGAATAAAAATGATAATATTATAAATGGAAGAAAACAATTCAAACTTTTACAAATCATTTTGTTTTTGTACAATTTAATAATTGTCTTATTTTTCATATATTAATTATTAGCATTATATGTTGCATTTATCACTAGTTTAAAACCAATTGTTATAATTGCAAAAAAAATAATTTAGGGGTTTTTTTTAATTTTAAAATATAGCACACGAACACAATTGTTTTATTAACATTTAACAAGAAAATTGTAAAAAAAATGGAAAGTGTTTTTTTCTAATATTTTAAATCATTGTTTACATTATATTGATATTCTGACTTGTTAACATATAATATCATTCTTATGCTTGATTTACAAAAATCTCCTCTTGATTCTATAATTATTTATGACCAACTTTTTTGAATCAGGTAAAAATGCTTAAAATCATTTTCTACTCCGACATAAATTTAATAGCACTTAAACACAATGTTATTAGTGTAAATGTTTTTCAATTTTGTTTAAACAATTGCGTGAAAACTGATTCAATGTAATTTAAGGAGATTGGTCTGGACCGCGCGGTGTTCGACATAACAATGAAGTAAATAAAGCACAGTGTGTTGATAAACTTGCGAAGCAGCAAACGCGCGAGGCCGTTATACATATTTGTCACCTTTATTGTCAATAATACAGGTAGTACTATTCTGTTAATATAGTCGTTTGATTAGATTGATTAAACATCATTAATTTGAGGGTTGCTTTTGAATTATTCACGAACTGTTACCCATAGCTCGAATACTTGTAATGATATAAAACATGGCGATATCTACAAAAATACCCATGGGAAATTTATCTATAATTTAAGGTCAGGGTAGAAATAGATATACATTCCCGCTGAATATGTTATCTTCGGTTAGATATAAAGAACTTTTTTTTAACTACCTGAAAAGTAAGTTACAATAGTAATCGCAAAAAATCGAATATGAAAATGGTTGCATATCTTATGTTTCAATGCTTTCTGAAAATTCTGAATACCTCAGAAAAAATTGATGTACGTGTGTATGTATGTATGTGCGGATACAATTTTTCGTCCACAGATCACCCATGCAATTTGAATTATTCAAAAAGCTTTGATTCCTAGGCAGGAACTGCCGTTTTGAAGATACAGGCCAAATGTACAAAAATGGCAATGCGCTTTTTGATAGAATGCAAGTTCAGCGACATTGGAAATCTAGAAGAAATGATAGAAAAAATGCCATTTGGCAATCAAAAATGATCATTAGATACATGCACATCAAATTATTACATATTTTATATAGATTTTAATAATAAGTTTAATATTTGTTTTTATTTCTACGAGTTCGGTACCAAAAATTTTAAATTTTAAAGTAGACGGTTGATTCAATCATATAGTTGAATCAACCGTCTACCGACTTGAATGGATTAGAATGGAAATATAAAATTTTCAAGAAATTTTAGAAAAAGTCGAATTTATTCAAAATTCAACAAAATGACAAAAATTTAAAAAAAAAAAAAAACTAAATTTTCAATATATTTCCAAACTGTGTTATTTACAAATCTCCATATTTATTTTCTCTCTCCATATTTAGTTATTTATTATTAAAACATTTAAAAAAAAACTGTGTAAATAAAATTTCAAAAGTCATGAACAGAAAAATTATAGGAAAAAACAATTTGTAAAAAATTGTTATGAGAAAAATTGAAAAGAAAAAAATAAAAAATTTGGTTTATCATAACCATGAACTCATTTTACAGTGTTTCTTCAAAATCCACTATGTTTTTTTTTAAATCAATCGAGCGACTTTTTTTTTTTTTTAATCGATGCAGCCGATTTTTCATAAATTGTATTTTCGGAGAACATAAACTTCTCCTTGGGAAGGTTAAAAACTATGGTGCTTTATACAAAGTTTTATGAATCCATCTACACTACTGCCAAATTATAATCGAATTTCGAAAATATGTAATGCAGCTTAATAATGATGAATTTGTCAAAAATATACCGTAGTTATGTTGTTCGGTCGTTTTTTTTTTCAAACGAAACTACAAAACTTTTGTAATTTGTGCTATAACATTTTTAAGGCTAAGTTCTGGTTTCAACTTGTAACCCATAATAGAAAAGAAATTCTCAATGGAATTCAAAAGGCGGATTATCATTTATACATATCAACAAACGTTCTAAATGCCGCGAAAGAAGTAAAAAGATTTTGATTCAAACAATAAATATCTCTGATCAATAAGTTTTTATTCAATTGCTTATGAATGCACTAGTACAAAATAAAAAATATTATGAAATTGAAACATTACATATATTAACTATAAATATAAATATTTATATTAAATCATACCATAACATGGTAAATTAAATTATACGTGAAAATATATACACAAGACTCATTTCGCTATATCACAATTATCAAGGTTTATTTTTCTTGTACATGTTAATAGCTATATTAACATATGAAAAACATAATTTTAACCTTTATTTATTTACCCGTCTCCTGTTATTATACCACTTCTGACTAAGAAATGATATTAGGCAAAATTTGTTAATGCAAAAAGACAAATAGTGTGCTTAATTTAATTATTAATGTGATTATTCAATAAATTAGTTACAACAAAATATAAATAATGTATTAAGTAACAACACCAATAAACTTAAAGCAAAATGCATTAGCTAATATATTATGAATCATATTCATATGCTAATTAGTGGCTCGATTTTCAATCACAAATCTTAACTTCATGATAAAAGTTATTTCTGCTGTATACCCTATAAGATTTCTAAATCACAATGTCGTATTTGTGGGAACTTTGTCTGTAATATAAGAATCAATTAATAAGGCTTCGAGTAGTTAAATTATGCAATAAATTGTACTTCATCATTTAACATACCCTGAGTTTTAGTTCAATCCTATCGATTTCACCTCCCATAAGGTCAACTATGTTTTCACCATGTTTCAATAAAAATTCTTCTAATTCATCTATTGTTTTGAACGACTTGATTTCCTTTAACAAAAATAAGACTTACTGAAAATAACTGTTTAAACCGGTGAATGCACATAATGTTAATATACTTCCATGCTAAATAGATTAGTGTTAAGAATAATAATAGAATATTAAAGAATAATGAAATATTAAGTAATGTAAACAATATAATAATTCACCTCCAACAAAGCGTTCAGATCTAGCTTGTCTAAATAAGCCCTAGATAATTCCCTTCCATCAAAGTCCATTTCAGCCTAAACAAAATACGAAAAAGCATTAATTCTGCAAAGTCCTTTCTCAAACAAATTAAGATTATTAATTATTAATTAACAAGATTAAAACTTTAATGTCTTACCTTATATCTAACCAGAGTATTTCCCATATCTATTCCTTTCACATCATGTATAGCTCGAATCATTATGTCTGATTCTAGTACTGCATTCATATCATCCAATTTTTCTTGTGGAATGGAACTAAGATCATAAGAAATATTATTACAAATTACACAAAAAAAGGTCAAAATTCTACATTTTATCTTTCTTACCGACCCACTAATGCGGCAACATTACTATAAATAATAAAGGACGCTACGCCCCCTAACAAGCCTCCAACCAAAAGTGATCCAATTGAATCAGGAATGGGAGAATTAGTAATGCTTGATAAACCCATACACAAACCAGCAACGCCTACACCCAATACGGCAGCCATGTCTTCTAACATGACCACGTTAACACTGGGATCTTGTCCTCGCAAAATGTAATCTTTTACTGAGATTGAAGCAGCTTTTGCACCTTTCCTGATCGAGTTAAAAGCCATCAGTAAAGTTGCGCCTTCAGATATCATGGAGCCAGCCAGAATGTAATAAGCCTGTAAAAGAAATAAATAAGAAGTTACGATAAATTGACTCAGAAATTTAAAACAAGATAGATATACAAAATTTCATCATAAAAAGGAAAACTATGATAACTATAATTACCCAATAATAATCTTCTACAGGATGTGGATTTAATAACCCATCTACTCCGTGGTAAATCGATAGACCGGTACCAACACAAAAAATGCCTACGCCTGATATAAGAGAGGCAACATATCGCATATTTGAATACCCATAGGGATGTGTCGGATCAGCCATCTGAAATGAATTGAAAAAATAATTATCAATTCTTAATACTTTATTTTTTCCTGCAACTTTTTGCCTTACTTGAACAGACTTATGTATACCATAGGCCAATATAAGTTGATTGATAGTATCAGCCAGAGAATGAATACATTCTGAGAACATACTATTAGATCCTGTGTAAAGCCAGGCAAATAATTTAAAAAGACAGTTTGTTGCATTGATGGCTACAGCAGCTACCACAACACGACCAGATCTTCCCATTAAACCAGATTCTTGTTCCACTTCAGTTCTTGTACCCATCTCTCGTCTATAATCTCTCAAACGTCGCTTTTGAGTGAAGACATCTGTGAAGAGCTAAAGTAAATTATAAAAATTCATTGAAATAGTGAAATTAATATATTTTAATTACTTTGTTGATAAGTTTTCCTTTCAATTTCCCTCTTTAAATGCTCTTTTCTCAAGTTATCCATTGAACCCCATACCTTGAATACAAACATATCAAATAAAATTAAAATCTGCTGTTAAAAATTAATTATGATTATTTAATCTATTAATCGTTACTTTAATTGCAACAGCTTCAACATCTCTTCGCCAATGAACTATGATTGGGGGTTCAAGTTCATAGGGTGATCTTCGTTTAGTTTTTGGTAACGATTCTAAATCACTTGGTTTTAGAAGAAAATCTGACATTGCTCGGACAGGAGTTATAAAGTTTCTTTCGAGAGAATTAGCAGAATGATCAAATGGTTTTCTGGTTCTCTTAGGTGGTGCAGCTTCTTTTTTGGGTGGTTCTTTTTCTTTTGATGTTGCCTTTTTATCTTTTGTAATAACTATATCCGTGACCTAGTACAAATTAATAAAAAATTATCACATTATACATTAATAGATGGAATATAATAGACAGAATCATGACAGAATAAACATTGAAATGCTAAGTTGATTTTATAATAAGACGGAACTCAATCACACACTTTGTATTGTGGATAATTCACTAATTAAGAGTTGACAAGTTTACCTATTAATATGTTTATGAAATTTCTTTCTATATTTTATTACTTACATTTGGCATTGATGGTTCGTGAGGTGGTTGTTCACTTACAATTATTTTTCCTCCTTTAACCAATATTTCTTTAACAAGAATTTCTTCAGGTTTCACAGATTTGACATCTGAACCTGTGGAATTATTTGGAGGTGCGGAATCCTTCGATTGAGACATTGCTCGTGCTAATATAGATAATTTTAGTACTCCAGGAATTTTGTTCCATTGAAAGGGGTAAACCCTTAAATTCTGGCCGTGTTGAGAAATAAGAAGGCTGAATTTTCGAGTTATAACATTTGACTAAAATTGAAATTTATTAGTATTGGGATAAACTAAAACGTAAATTATGATTCTATAACAAGTTTACCTTAGACTGCAACATTTGTGCTGAAAGTGCTCCGCGTTTGCAGAGCACTTTCGTGAAGTCTAAACTTCTAGGCGACATTATGTGAACTAATGCCATTCTTTATGATTTCAGAATTATGTTTACAATATAATTTAAAACACTATTGTTCAGTTTTATATAAGCATGTTTAATCAAAATAATATTGAATAGATTCATAAGAAAAATATAATAGGTTATGTGAGAATTTTATAAATAAAAATAGTTTCACATTTCTTAATTGATTTGATTATTACAGCAAATCAGCAGATTTACATTTTATCTTTTTGTAGTTATGTCAAAAATTTAAACGACTCCACGTCAATAAGCAGCTCTTTCCAATTCTCTTCTGTCAGAGTTGTCGCAAAACTTGTTCAACAGATTTTGCTGCTTTTGTTGGCTATTGTTAGTTTTTGACATTTCTACGCTTGCGATTTGTTTGGCATTTAGAGGTTACAATTAGAAATCGTTTTATTTCCTTGATGAGTTTCATTTTTTATAAGGTAAATACTACAGGTGTATATAATTAAAAGTTTTTATAAATAATCTAAAGATAAATGATACTCAAAGTAGTTGAGGTGTGAAAATTTTGTCACTTGTCCAGAGACTTTATATTCGACTCATTGTACATATATGAACTGACAATAATTAAAAAGGAGGGATTTAAAAACAGTTTCTATCTTGATATTGATTTATATAATATATATTCCTTTATTTTATAATGTTAGTTTTGTACTTTATCTTCTAATTGTGACAATGTTCTTGATAGATGACCTGAAGCTGTCTCTTTGCTGTCAGTAGTATTTGTGAAATTCTTGAAAATAGTAAATTATAAGTAGTTGCTACATTGTGAAGATAAAATGTATATTGGCTAATTTGATACTTATCATTAGAAGTCATGGATGTTCCACAGCTTGCAAATAAAGATCAAGAAATAGCATATTGGAAAGATTTAGCCAATAAATATTTACAAGAGAAAACTGATGCTCAACAAGAATTAGAGGATTTTTCAGAAGAATCTAGACAACTAGAGTGTGAGTTAGAAGCTTCTCTTGAACAATCAGAAAATGTAATAAGAGACTTGAGATTAACAATTAGGAATTTACAAGCAGAATTGGAATCTTCGAAGAATAAGTTAGAAAAGCTTGATAAAGAGAACTGCTCATTAGAAATTAACTGCAATGCATTATCGTCAGAGAAAGAAAAATTATTAATTTATATTAGGGAACTGGAACAAAAAAATGATGACCTTGAAAGAGCTCATAGAAATGTAACAGAAAGCGTTGCTACATTTGAGGATCTTTTAAATAAAGCCTATGAGAAAAATGCATTGCTAGAAAACGAAGTTGGTGAAAAAGAAAATTTACAAGTCCAGTTACAACGTATGCGCGATGAAGCTAGAGACTTGCAACAAGAACTGAAAATAAAAGTCAAGGATGGTGACAAAAGTTTGATGAATGGTTACAGTAATTCTTATATGAACTTATCTCTAGATTCCAATAGACTACATTGTGAAATGGAAACACAGACAGTGGACAACCAGACATCAGTGAAAAATCAACCATCAAATATCAATGGTAACGGACTAACATCCGGTGGCAGGATAATTGCAATGAATATTGTTGGTGATCTGCTGAGGAAAGTTGGAAATATGGAAGCAAAGCTTTCGAAATTACCTAACGATGGGGGCCTGGTAGCTCAAAACGGAATATACTCAGGAGATACACCACCGAGTACTTACAGAAATCGAAGATCTACTAGAACACCAAACTCTCCTTTAGTCTTAGGATGCAAGTATAATATTCCTAGTTAATTGAAGAAGTGCTTTCAAACTGTAGAATTCATTTTGGAGTATGAATCCTAGTTTAACTATTTTAAGTTTGCTTATATTCAATTGCACAAAATGTGCTAATTAAAAATCCAAATCAAAGACACATGTTTGAAATAGAGCAACAATTTAAAATTGTGATATTGAAATCAGAATTTGCACTTCTTGCGTGAGTAGATAGAATATAATGTAAGCACATGACACATATTTATTTGTCAAATATCAACTTCTTTGAATATGCTATATTTATATTCTTTACTGCAATTTTAACATTACCATAGTTTGGCAGGTTAATTACAGCATAGTTTAAGTTGTCATATTTTTATAATTCTTTTAATTATTAGTTTTATATAAATCTTTATAAACTTTGAATACAATTGCACAAAGTTTTTACTGAACACAGATTTTAGTTTTCAAAGGTAATAATTTGTAACTCCATTATTCAATTTGTTGAAACTTGTTCCGGAATATATGTTAGCATAGATTGAATGTACATGAATTCAAATATCAACTATATATTACATATTTATTAAATACATATTGTTGTTTATTCCTATTATGAAATAATTTTTATCGTTCATTCATGATGATTGACTTCATAGTTTAGAAACCCAAACCTTTGCCCCAAAAATCTAAGAATACTTGAAAGTAAAGATAAATTACAAGTTGGAAATAGTTTGTAATTAAAAGCCGAAGTAGCAATTTATTTTAATAAACTATCAGAAAGGTTGTGGTGGGTAAAATTTTAAAATCATTGTTAATAACAATTTTCAGAAGTTAATATTTATCAACAAATTTAGTTAAGAAATTAAAGTATTATATTAACTATTAGACCCATGATTTCCAACCAGTGGGGCGCTCCGGGTTACGAGTGAATACAAAAATATTTTTTATTCTGACAGAATACTATATATTAATTCGCAGCCTGATAAATAAATTATAATATCAGTTGTATTAATGAAATTATACTATTAAAAAATTGAGAGTAGCTTAACTATGTTTAAAAAAAAACAGGGAGCGGGAAGCAGTACTAAAAGGTTGGGAACCACTGTATTAGACTAATATGAAGCTGAAATAGAAATCATACAAACACTGCTTTAATTTGCAAACATTTCTTTTTTAAGGAATTGTTATGTCTAAATGGCAAAATGTTTGATATTTTAAATAAAATGTCGGAAAATAGTTCATAATGTTGGTCAAAATCAGATTGACGTAATGCTGACAACTTCACTATATTGATAGCCATGATTGATTGAAATATTAATCCTTTTTCTATTGTGTAAATCAGTTTTCAATTATGTTACATTTTTACTTTGCTTGTGCGTTATTTTATAAAGTGTCTTAATGCATCGTGAAAAGTTCATAGTTTTGTTATTATTTTTAAAATAAAGCACGTTGACATAATTCATCAATCACTATAATTTTTCCGGAAATGTTAATTCTTGATGATTCACAAAGTAGCCATTTCTTTTTTCAGCAGTGTGACAATTTTGCGAATAGTTTTGCACATTGTAATTTTTGTGAAATGGTTGAGAGAACTTATTCTTATATAATTTGTAAAAAGTTTTAAATCAAAAAAATACTGTGTGTTTCAATCAAAGTTCAAAACCGTTCGTTATATTTGAAAACAATGATATTCCAACCATATTTGTTTATCTATGATTCCAACTTTCTTGGGTAAGTAATTTTTTTATTACTTGGCTTATTTGTTTGATTATTAAAAATGCATGTACAAAAATAGTTGATTGTTTTTATATTCAGTACTTAGTTATTTTAGTCTATCTGACATTTAAAGTTAATCCTTTTTAAACATTTATTTTGAATGATTCATATCATATGTTTTTATTTTCAAATCTTATGCGTAATTTTTAGCTAAAAGAATTTAAATTGAAATTTGAATCCGCGGAACCAAGAAAATGTTGTAAAACTAGTGGGGTACATGACATCGTGCCTTAATGCAAATTGCTGGAACTTCCCGTACCATAATTAAAAATCTTGGCAAAAAACCTAAAAAAAATTACACAAAATGTGTACACATTATTCAAATCTCTATAAAATATCTGATAATTTGATGTACATATGTCCAATAAACATTTTTGACCGCCAAATAATATTTTTTAACTTATTTCTATTAAGAGTCTATAACCGGTGGACCTGCCTTCCCAAGAATTTAATCAGTTCTTCATCTTGTCAATACAAGTAAAATGTTTTTTGAATTATTAAAATCGGACGCTCCGTTCTCTTGAACTGAGTTACCGTTTTTGGCACTTTTTGCCGCGTATCTTCGGAACGGCTAGACCTGCCTTCGCCAAAAACTAATCAGCACGTCTCCTTATCAATACGAATCGAATGTTTTATTAATTATTCAAATCGGTTTATCGGTGTTCCCGAAATCGTCGACGAAAATTTGTATCCGCACACACTCACACATACATCCATGTTTTTTCTAAGATATGCCAAAATATTCAGAAACTTTTGAAACGTATATAAAAATTTTAATTTTCGATTTTTTGCGATTATTGTAACTTACCTTACGGGAAGTTAATTAAATTTGTTATACATTTTTATAGGTCGTAATAAAATACCATAAATTTTCTGAAATTATATTTAAGTAACAATTTTGAAAATACATTTCTGTATAAATCTGCTATTACATAATTAGTTTTTGTAATCAACATAAAAGAAATCAAAAGTATTTACAAACCCTGAGCGCATAAAATATGTAATTAATCAACAAATAAATTTGTATCGGTAACAACAAAATTAACAACTTAAACAAAATAAATATTATATTAATTAACAAAGAAAACTTTACACAAAACATTAAGTTTTAGTTGACTATGCAAATGACACATTTACAGATATAAGACATGTATAAAAGTATATAAGCAATTTCTTAATTCTATATATTCTACATGTTATGGTCTCTGGTACATTCTGCGCTAAAACTACGTAGAATTAATTGATGCAATTAGTTAACACAGATCTTTGAAACACGTTTTGTTTATCGACTTCAATAACCTTCATTTTTAAATTAATTATTACAATTTCAAATATTCCTAGGCTAATAAATAAATATTTCTCCATTAGTGGATCTTTTTGTGGTATCCGTTTGACTCTTTCTTTGCCGTGCCGTTGCCGACTGCTTTCACTCCGTTTGCTGTTTTTCTGTCTCGTTTTCCCTGAAATTAATATATTTTGGTGAATTTTTGTAAATTAGCAGAAATTAGATTGCTAATTCAAATGTAATACGTATTTGATATATAGGTCAGATATTGCAAACAAAGATGGACCGTAGCCCTGGAATTATTTAAGCACGATTTTTGAACAAAATCATACTTAATAGTTTCAATCAAAATTCTAAAAGAACCTAACAAAAAAGTGCAGTTCAAAATTTTATACGGCTAGAAACCTATAAATAAATAATGGTATTAACCTGCTATTTTTTAACATAAATGAAACGATTACATGAAAATCATAGTTGTAAGTAAAATTTTGTCTTAAGGCAAGTTGCATGAATTTCCCGATACGTATACATAATTAACCTAATCAATAACAATTGAGAAAATAAAAAAATCGGTTCAATAAAAAATAATCAATACAATTTCCAATATGTCTTTCGAACTCACATAATATTATGTGTAATTGTATAACTGTTATTAATTTGTTAAACACATTTTATATTTCATGATGTTAACGATAATCAGTAAATGTCTACGAAACATCAAAAAACGTACATATGCACTCCGACACAGATTCCGATTAGAATCGTTCAAGTTCGTAAAAGATTCTGATTAGAATACTTCAAGTGCGTATAAGATTCTGGTTAGAATCGTTCAAATTCTAAACTTTGGTGAATTTTTATAAGTCTCTCGATTAGCATAGGCCTAATATTATATAAATTATGTTAATTCAGACTACGAAATATATAGCCATACTAAGTTTAATCAAAATCGTCACATTTTTTTAAACATTTAATTACGAAGAAACAGCCCGGGCGCGATCTTTACCAAAAACTAATCAACGCGTTTATCTTTCGAAGAAATTTTGAATTTTTGGGAAAATTTATAAGATGGGTCTAGCCATTTTTTAAAAAAGGCCGACAAAATGTCAAAAATCGGCTTACATACGGATTCACGATCGGATTCAGAATGACGTAAAACATCAAGAAAACATAAAATTAGAAAATCGGATTATTTTGCGAAAACAAACTGCTTCTTCGGGAAGTTAGAAATATAATACTTAGCTGCTCTAACAACGAGCACATTAATTTCAATTAATTTTATTACTAAAATATATTATTCGGCAACACTAACACTTATTCACAACAAATATTATACTATAAAGTATATCTTAATGAAGATAATTAATCTTCACCCTATAAATTACTTTAACAATTATTTGGTATTTTATTAACAGCAATCTATACTTAACGAGTCCCAAGGGCTATTGTGATGATTATATACTATATGGCTTTCTAGATTGCAACCCAATGGTTGTCCATTCTTTATTTGAGGAATTTATCATTAGAAATTCTAATACCCATGACATGTTATTAGTTGCAGCTAAAAGGGCTATTTTCACGTGGAAATATATTGCTATCTATATTTTCGAGCAAAAGCCGATGTTAATTGTGATCGACATCGAGCTCTCAGAGGAGAAAATATATTTTTGAATGGAAGACCACAGACTAACCAATAATTATCTGCTTTTAAAAATCGAGTTTTCGACTTACTGCTTGCTTTCTGTTTACAAAATGTTCAAATATAGTCCAGACATTATAGTAAGTTTTCCTCGGAATTCGAGACACCCAGCTGTAAATCTTTGAATACTGTATATTGACACCCTAAAAGTTGTCTGAAAACCTACATATGGTAGGATATGCACAACATATGTAGTTTTGAGACAACTTTTAGGGTGTCAATATACAGTATTTACAGACTTACAGCTGGTTATCTCAAATTCCGATATTCTTACCTAATTTAAGCTTAAATGACTGGACTAATGTTCAATTATTCATTTAATGAATCTAAAAGGCGTATTGTATTTAACCATTAATATGTCAAATCGTGTCTTTACTATTTTTAAAATTTTTTTTTTTGAACAGCAATCGGAACTTATGAGTCCTATAAGAGGTTTTGCTGAATTTACTTAATACTAGTCAGTTTTACAGATGACATTTGCCCCATTCATTTATGTATAATGAATTATTATTACAATTTCTGTAATAGGGCGAATATCAATTGATTCATCATTGTCGCATCAGGGCTATTTTTTACTTGGAAACATATTTGAACACAATTTTATAATTACCTTTTCGATGTATGCCTTGACGTAGAAATTGCCGAAAAGTATTATGAAGGAAATCATGTACGAAACTAAAGCGTAATGCATC